ACCTGGTTGGCCAGATGATAAACGTTATTTCCCGGATGAACCCCATCCGAGTGTTCATGACACAACCGGCAGCGTTGAATTGGCGTTTAGCCAGATGGGCACTCCTACTATCTCAATACGACATCCATTTCATGCCACAAAAGTCGGTCAAGGGGCAGGCTATCTGTGATCTCATGGCTAGTCACCCGCTGGGGGCGAAGACCAACCTATTTGAAGATCTGCCAGATGAACCTCCCGAAGCTAATGTGACTTCATCACCAGAGGTGTGGGAGATGTTCTTCGATGGCGCATCTCGCGTAGGCACGAGCAGCTCGATTGTCGCAGGAGTGGGGGTGGTCCTCACCTCTCCGCATGGCCATGTGTTACCTCGAGCTTTTTCCTTGACAGAACCGTGCACCAACAATGTCGCTGAGTACAACGCGTTACTCATAGGACTCGAGTTGGCCAAAGAGTTAGGGATAAAGCATCTGGAGGCTTACGGTGACTCCCAACTCATCGTTAAGCAAATGACTGGTGAATATGAAGTCAGGAACGATGATCTCATCCCGCTCCACAAAGCGGCTATCAGACTAGTGGAGTCACTCGAGAGTTTCCGCATTGAGCACGTGCTCCGTTCCAAGAACACGCATGCGGACGCCCTTGCATCCTTGGCGGCTAACTTGGCCCAGCCTTTAGGAACGACCCAACGGGTCACAGTCACCAGCCGAAAGCTCTTTCGACTAAGAGACGTTCCAGAGGCGAACGCCACCCATCAAACCCCGGATCAGCCCGATCAGGAAGACTGGCGTCTCCCGATCATTAATTACGTTCTATACGGCATGTTGCCCACAGACACGAGGGAGCGAGAGTCTATCCGACGACGTGCCTCGAGGTTCTACTATGATTCGACCACCAAAACTCTGTATCGGAGGTCATACGACGGCTTGTTGCTTCGCTGTCTTTCAAAGACAGAGGCTCAGGAATCCCTGCGAGAAGCCCATGACGACATGTGCGGGGCTCATTAGCCTAGACCCAAGCTTTGGGATCGCCTGCGGAGGATAGACTACTTTTGGCCTGGGATGGTTATCGACGCGGTCGCTTACGCAAAGCGCTGCCACGAATGTCAAATCCACGCCAACTACATGCATCAGCCTCCTGAAGACCTACACCCGACAAAGGCGTCGTGGCCCTTCGAGGCATGGGGGATGGACATAGTCGGGCCAATATCCCTACCATCGGCGAGAGGCCATCGTTTTATCCTCGCAATCACCGACTACTTCTCTAAGTGGGCCGAAGCCATCCCCTTAAGAGAGGTCAAGACTAATGACGTGATCAAATTCATCATGCACCATGTCATATACCGATACGGCGTACCTCGACGAATTATTCATGACAACGGCACACAGTTCGTCAGCCATGCGTTCACTAGGTTTTGTGACAAATTCCGAATACAAAACCTGTCATTCACGGCCTACAACCCTTCGGCGAATGGTTTGGCCGAAGCCTTCAACAAGACGATCATCAAGATTTTGACCAAGCTAACTTCCACTAGCAAACGCGATTGGAATGAAAAGCTGGGCTAAAGCTTATGGGCGTATCGCACAACGGTTCGCACACCGACTGGTAGCACGCCCTATTCATTGGTATACGGCTGCGAAGCCGTGTTGCCTTTAGAAATTCAAATCCCATCCCTCCGCGTCGCCCTGGCAATGGGGATGACGGCCGAGGATAATCACCAACGGTGACTCGCGGAGCTCGAAGCGTTGGATGACAAGCGATTAGAAGCTCAACAGCACATTGAGTTCTATCAGACCCGAATGGCCAAGGCTTTCGACAAGAAGGTCAGATGCCGAGCCTTCAAGGAAGGAGAGCTGGTACTGGCCGTTCGCCGACCAATGATCCTCACTTCCAAGAAGAAGGGGAAATTTCAACCCAAATGGGAAGGACCGTTCGTAGTAGAGACAGTCTATTCGAATGACGCCTACCGCCTCGTCAAGTCTAATGGTGATAAGATCATGATGCCCATCAATGACAAATATCTGAAGAAGTACTACCCTTAGTTCTTCTTCATTAACTCCCACGAGTGCATGAGTTTAAACTGGCCCTCACACCCTCCAACTGGTGTAAGAGGTAAAACTATTCCTACACTTCCATTTCTTGATCCAAGTTACCAGATCAGGCGAACCGCTCAGATCAGGCGAATCACTCAGATCAGGCGAATCACTCATATCAAGCAAGCCTATCAGTCTAGGCGAAATCCACTTCTTGAGCTAAGCTCCCTGTCTTGACGAACCTCTCAAAACAAGCGAGACTAGCATCTCAGGTAGGCGGCATCAAACGCCCACTTGGTCAAACCTTCAGATAGTTAGGACCAGAACCACAGTCCCCCGCTAATCCTCTTCTAAAGAATGGTGGGTCCTCAAAGTCGTTCCAATTATGACAGTCCCTGTCACGTTAATATTAAACCTCTGACAAAATCAACTTATCAATCATCTTCTAAAGGATGGTGGGTCCTCAAAGTCGTTCCAATCACAACAGCCCCTGTCACGTTAATATTAAACCTCTGACAAAATCCACTTACCAATCCTCTTCTGAAGAATGGTAGGTCCCCACAGTTGCTCCAATCGCGACAAAACCCTATCAGGTTAATGATCACCTCTGATGATTGGCGCCGTTATTCCTACGAGTAACACAACCTAAGTAATAGCCTACCACGCAACATGTTATTACTTCTGTCAATAGTCACACTCCTACGTCCCTGAACTACTTGACCTATTCCAGATATTCTAATAGAGTCTACCACGCAATGGCTCCTACCACAATCAATTGTCACATTCCCAAATGACGACAATTGTTAAAGGCGGTTCGGCAGATGACCTGTCTGTCGGTTCCCCAAGCAACAACTCACCGAGTGGCGAGTCGCAGTTGGGTTCTTTAGTTGGCTGCATGAGCGAACGATTGTTCTTCGCTACAAGCCAAGTGTTGCTCTCTCGATCCCATTTGAGCTACAACGCGAAAATCGGAGTTAACCCGATCCCCACGCTGTGAGCAACCGAGAGCAGAATAAGAGCCTAAAATGACTAAGTCCAAAACAAAATAGTCAGAGGCTCACCAAGTTCAACTCAAATGCCAAACAACACATACAAAGAAAAAAGAAAACTGTGTATGCGAAGCAAAGATAAGCAAAAGCTAAAGGCCATTACGGGCCAGAATTTACATGCATAAGTTTTCAAGTTGTGATTCCCGCGGCATCAACTAAGTTTAAAACAAAACAACAACAAAAAAAAGGAAGAGCAGAGATGGGCGCTACAGAAGCTTCAACAGGCTAAAGGCAGCGATCTTGGCTTTGACCGCCACCAGGGCCGCCACACGCCGGGCCTTCGCCGCCTCTGCCTGCTTCTGCCGCATCTTGGCAAGAGTGGCTTCGCCTTCCTCTTCCTCCTGGCGGAGGAGCTAAAGCGATCGATCTGCCTCCCTAGCGGCGCAACAGATCCGCCTGTTCTCCTGCTCAAGCTCCAGCAGCATCGCCTCGCCACGAAGGGATCTAGCGTCTTTTAAGAAGGAGACATCCAGATAAGCGTCCATCCGGGCCAACACCGTCTTATGCTGCTTGCGCAGACGCCTGAGCTCGGCCTCCTTCGCCTGAATCCGCTTCGCCCGATCCTCACGCTCGAGCAGGAGGCGCAACGAGAGGGGCAGTGGCACGTCAGAAGGATCGTCGTGCGCCATCTCCTCAAGGCGGTACATCAGCCCCTCCACGCGACCAAGCTCCCGCTCACATCGCCGTGCGAGCGAGGCACCACCCTCGCGGCGGACCGCCCTTAGACCCGACTCCACGAGGGGAAGCACATCATAGTACCTCCCGTCACCCACGTCGACCGAGATGCCGATCCCGTGCACCAAACCCTCCAACTTCTGGAGAGCCTCGAATGCAGGGTGAGCCGTAGGGTCTGGGGCAGAAGACCCCTGGACCGAACTCGTAGGAGAAGCGGGAAGACCCAACACCCTCAGAAACGCTATGGTCGGAGTCGGAAGCCATGGGTCAAAGAGAAGTCCTGCAGCAGTTCTCTTCTTTTAGCGAATTATCTTGAAAGAAAGAGGACTTTGCTGAAAAGACAGAAAGTACATTATATGTATATAGCAAAAAAAATTTCGACGGTCATGATCTGTCCCCTCAGACGATCGAGCGGTCCAGGTGTCCTGCGACACTTCGAGCTCAACGCCAATAAAGGCCATTCCTCTCGGGACTCCAAACCGACCGATCAGATTGAGCCTAGGAGGCGAAGCGTTCTGTCACCTCGCCATTAATAAGCATTAATGCGCCCGCAGAGCCTTAGCTGGCAAGCACTTGGGCCCGCAGACAGACGCGTGGCACAAGTTTCACCCACGGTTGGATCTCCAACTGTGGGACAAATTCGACATGTCAAAAGTTTCGCCTGTTGTGTAAACTCGCCATCATATGGGTTTCGCTTGCAGCGTAAATTCGCCATCAATCGAGTTTGGCTTTCAACTTAAACTCACCATCATACGGGTTTGCCTGCAGCGTAAACTCGCCGTCAGTCAAGTTTGACCTCCTCTCCAGCAGTTGAGTTTAGCCCCTGAGTAAAATTCACCACGATCGAGTCTCGCCTACAAACAAACTCGCCAATCAATTGAGTTTCAACAGCAATGTGAACTCGTCAAGAGTCGAGTTTTGTCATCCAAGCGAACTCGCCGTCGCCATAACTTCGCCGACGGTGTAAACTCGCCGGAATAGAGTTTGGCCTTTAAAATAAACTCGTCATCACGCGGGGAACTTCGCCCGCGACACGAGATTGCCGGCCATTACAGGGCAAAACACTGAAAGGCGACATATAAAAAAAATGTGCACACAATGAGCAGACACAAACCTCATTAGATACTTCTAAACAGTACATTTGAACAAAGTTATGACTTTACAACAAAAGGGTCATAACATTCAAAGAAGAGAGCAAATGAGACAAAATGTCTTGACACACTTTCAGAAACAGGGGGGGGGGAAGCTAATCCAACAGACTAAAGGAAGCAAGATCTACCTTGGCCGCGGCTATCTTTCCTGCGTGGTCCTCCCTGGCCTTGTCCTCAGCCTCTTGTCGCACTCGGCCCTCGAAGCTTGACCTAGTGACAGTATCCTCCTCGCGTAGCGTGAAAAGGTTCCGAGTTTTCTCTTCAACGACCTTGTCGACCTTTGCCCTCTCGGATTGAAGCTTCCTCAGAGACGACTCCGCCTCTCCTAACTCGGTCTTCAGACGGGCTACAGTGGAAGTAGCGTCACCTATCCTTTCTCCCAGTAAGTGTTGTTGACCCACCCAGGAGGCGAGGTTAGTCTCCAGATATGCTATTTCCTTAGAGCGAACTTCCTGATCCCAGGCCTCTCGACGCCTGACACGAACCAGGAAAGATTCCTTAGAGCGAACTTCCTGATCCCAGGCCTCTCGACGCCTGACACGAACCAGGAAAGATTCCATATCAACTTCCGGGCCTTCTCGTAACAACGTCTCTAGCCTCATCATGCGTGACTCCAAAAGACGGAGCTTCTGCATGCAACGCTTGGCAATCCAATTTTCGCCCGATCGTCGAAGGTTGACCACGCGGTCCAGGAGAGATTGCCTAAAGCCGTCAAAACTGCCCATGCCAAGACTGACGAGGGAAATCACTTGCTTCACCGCATTCTCGAACTCTTCAAGGCGGGCCTGTAGAGACGAGGAATCGGAAGAAATAGGCTCTTGACCCGGAGCGAGCGCCGTGATGGGTGGCATCTCGAGGCAGGGTTCGGCATCAGGTGTCGGAGCGGGCTTCGATTCGGAGGAAGTCGCCGCACCCTCAGACTCGTCGTCGGAAATCAGAATGGGTTCGGTCGCCTGCTCTTCGGCAGTCGGCGTCTCTTCTTGGTCTGTGAAACATAATAACAACACGACGAAAGGGGTCAAACGAGAAATACCTGCCCAATTCATGCCTGCGCAAGAATTAAAAATTCAGACAAGGAATACCTTCGGCGGCAACAGCCTCAGCAGCACTTGAAGAAGACGTCTCCTTCCTTTTCTTCGAGGTAACCTTTTTCACATTCGGAGCCATTCTGAATGCAACGAGAGGGAAACTGAAACTTCACCTGAAGAACACAAAGAAAAAAGGAGAGAAACTGCAATCTCTCTTAACGAGGGGGAGAGGCTTTAAATGCTTCAACCCAAGGCGGTTATCCACAGCTTGATTGGACCTTTCAAGGCTAAACAGTCGAAAGTAAGGCCGAAAGACTCGGAGTTTGTGTGAACGGCCAAGATCTAGCAGTTTCTGCACACGATCTTCGACTAACGGCCCAAGTTGGACGTGAAAAACGAAGAGGCCCACTACGCCGTATTTAATGCGAAACGACTAGCCCACGTCTCCTTAACCGATGTGCGCGTGGGTTAACACGTGGCCCGCTGAAAGCGGAGCCCACTCAGAACCAGATTCGCCGTTTAGACTCCTGCAAATCCGCCCGTAGGCAAAATTTGCCTGCAGATGAAATAAACTTGCAATAGAGAATCGCCAAGCACCCACATGCAAAGTGACAATGGCCGAAAACAAAAGGATAATTTCATTCATAGAGAGAAATCCTAGTACAACTGGGAATCAAAGACAAAAGGGGCAAATTACAAGGCTTTCAATCACAGTTCCGCCTCACGAATCTCCCCAGCATGACGAAGCTCTAGCTTCCTCAGGATCTCTCGGCGAAGATCTTCCTCAGTACGTGAGACTAAGTCTTGGACGGTCTCTTTGATCTCCCTGAGGGCTCGATCCTTTTCCTCAATGGAATCAGCCGCCAACTGCCGACGCGATCCAATGTCCTCCAATTCCTTGACTGCCTGTTCATGAGCCTTCTCTTGGATGGCCAATGAGGCCTGCGCTTTAGCTATAACTTGCTTCAGATTCTCTACCTCCGAAGACAAGCGAGAAACATGGTTATCGGCCTTCTGTTGCTCGAGGGCCACTCGTTCATCCTCAGCCTTGGCCTATTCCAACTCTGCTGACAATCTTGTCTCCAGTGACATGGTCTCGTTCAGACGGCGATCACGTTCCTCCACTGCTGCTCGGACTTCGTTGGAGGCAAGATCAACAAGTGAGGAACTCTTCGCACGAAGGGCAAGCAGCTGTTGAACAGCTTCCTCCACTTCCTCCATACGCTGAAAGTAGGGCTTCGCCGCAGTGTGGCCAAGCCTCTTGATTAGGAAGAACACGATGTAGTCAAGATCCTCCTTAAAATTCTCGAAGGGACAACTCTCCTCCAAAGCGAGCTTGACGCAATCGACTAGAGTGTCTTGGAAATCAGCCAGAGCTCGCGCCGCACTCCTTTTCCGCAAGCACTCCAAGGGAGAGAGGGTAGCCTCCTCTGCCGAGGATGAAATTACGGTTGAAGTACCGGTGGTCATAACCGCAGAAGTAGTAATTGGCACCGCCAAGGCTGGTGTGACGCCGACGAAGAAGTGGTCACTAGCCGAGTAGAAGCCTCCCTCTGAAGTGGAGACTCTCGCGCTGATAGACAATCCCCGGCCGACGCTTCCTCAGGCGTGGGAGATCCCCCTATTTGGCTGGGCGCATCTTCATGAGCCCGAACCTCTTCCTCACTTGATATCGCCTCATGAACCGAGACGTCGTCATCCTCCTCAGATTCGTCCGTCTCCCCAGACGAGCGACCCATCCAAGAGGGAGGATCCTCTTTGCCAACAACTTCATGGGCAGGATCAGCTACGAATGCACGAAGAGGGTTAACAGAGGCCCCTCGAAAGGGACCCTATTGACAGTTGGGTAAGGAAGAATGAATAATGCTAAGGCCCACACTTACCTGAGCCCGTGAACCCCTCTTCATCTCCATCCCCCTCCTCTTCGTCGGAAGGAATGGAGATCACTTTCTCAACCACACCTGCATATGTCCAATACAAATGTCAAGGGTGTGAGGTCAACACTGTGATCAAGGGTACTGTGACAAATATTACCTCCTGAGGTGGATGCAGAAGCCGCTGGAACCCCCGTCTGTGGCCTCACGCCAGATTGCGGAGAAGCGTCCTTCAAGGTCGTCGGAACTGCCCCCGATACGGCAGAAGAAGCGGGCGGCACAGCTCCAGACCCAGACGTAGCCACTCCGGGGAGGCTTACCGGAGAAACATCGTCCTGACCTTCCGTTGCTCGAGCGATCTCGACTGTCTCATCATGACGGGTCTTCTTGGCCGTCTCCGCTCAGGAACTTTCGGCCACTGCCTCCCGCTGACGTTTAGAGAGAAGCGAGCTACTCGGGGATAGAAGAGGCGCCCCCCATCTATCCAACTGTCAGACTCTGGACCTGGCTTAACCGCCCAGATTCTCTTGGTTCACCAGGGGCATCCAACGAAGGACCAGGAGAAGAAACTCGAACCTCGGGAACCTCAGATTCGTCTAGGCCAACGTCACCGCCCTCGGCGTCTTCAGCCGGGTCCTCTAAAAACCACTCCTTAGCAGTCTGGCGACCCCTCTATCTCGAAGTACGGAGAGGCCTTCTGGAAAGACCCCCCTGCTCTGCCAAACATGAGCTTTGGAACCAGAAGCCTTCGGGGTTAGCACTGTCACCCCGATACCACCGGCAGTATAGGAGAGTGTGATGCAAGTCACGATCCTTCGTAGGTAATTCAAAACGGACCTGGGTGCTGCCAGCATGGGTCCAAAACCATCCCCGAGCTCCGTCCACCAGCCCTCCTTCAAAGTGTAGGCGAGGATTAACATTGCCCACATACAGTTGGTCATACCCGAACTGACGGGCAAACCTGCAAGGGATATACGGCTCGAGGTAACACGCAGAACCTGTGCGTAGGATGTGATACCCTGGCCGAATGTTTACTAACCATCGGAAAGCGCCACAAGGGAGAACTGTGTGATGGTTGGCCGTTGGCACATCCCTAAGAGACTCACTGTATCTTCCTCCGCTAAAGTAGGGGAAAAAGCGACGAAAATTATAGTGGACAAAGTTGGAAAGCGTCTTCCGCACATCGGGAATGTCTCTACACTTCCAAGAGCACCTCTCCAAACGCTCAAGGAATAGAACAAACCTGTCTCCTTGAAGAGTCGCGGGAGCGCTCATCAAACATTCACAGTGGTAAACAAACCACGCCATCAAGTAGGTGTACGGCAGTCCCACTCTAGGATTAGGGGTCCTGATGACTTCCCCTTCCCCTTCGTCGATAGTCGACACACGGCAGAACTGACCCGTCAACGTACGGAGTCCCCGGTGGATGCACGCTATCGTCGCCAACACCAAAGAATAGGACTTCCCGTGGGCTAAGCAAACCGCCGGATACACGGCCTCCACTGGAAGCGCCTCGAAGGAATGAGTGGGAACCACGCACCTCTTCAGCCACAACATGATGTACCCCGCGAACAAAGCCTTCCCAGAGATAGGGGACTTAGCCTGGTGGTGAAACGAATGGAAGACCGTTCCAGACTTGAACCTACCCTCGTCGTGATCAAGAGCTATAGTGGCTTCCCCTTCGACCATCCTCCTCTCCACTTCGGCCTGATCGCATGCGCGCAACGGCAGAGCAGGCCTCCCTTTGACATCGCTCTCCGGGAATAGATAGTCAGCCTAATTCTTGTGGCTGATTCCCGGAGCTCTTTTCTTCTTACCCTTGTGGTCCACCGCCCCTAAGGTGTTGAGGCAGATGTGGTAGTGGCAGAGCAATTCCCATAGAGTCTCAACCACCAGTGGGGAACGGACCGAGAGATGGTCGATCTCATCTTGACTGGGAACATACTCCTCATACGGAAAGTCTCGCAGAGGCAGTCCCAACACATCGTACATCTCGTGAAGGGTTATGCCGAGCTCACCATTAGGGGTGTAAAACGTGCCACTGTCCGCACAATATAGCTCTAAGACGCTATGGAACTGGGGAGCATTAATCTTTAGACCATGGCGAGTGGCCTGAATGGCCGCATACAACTCTGTATTCGCGAGGTCAGAATTCTCGGCCAGAATGTAATCGGTGATCTTGGACCACCAGGTCTTACTGCCAGGCGCAGAATAGATCCACCCCGGAGCTCTGAAATCATTCAGAAGGAATCTCCCTCCGGCTTGGAAGAAGCGGTGATGGAAGGTCTCCGCGACCGCTGTCATGTCTCCGGTGGGCGCCTCATTGAACGGTAGGCCCGGACGCAGGCCTGTCACCCATTTACAAGAGCTCTCTACCCCGTACCCTGCCGTAGAGCCTGTAAAGACGCCGCAAGTCACCCCGTCTTGAGTTGGGGTCAAATCCTAATTCATCATCCTTGGAACCACAAGGGAGCGCAACTCAACAATTGAGAAACCCCTCGGCATGATTGGAAGGTAGTAGTGGACCCCGTCCATTACGCGGATCCACCTGCTCTCCTTGATCAACAGAGCGAAAGGATCAGTTGCAGCATCACCAAACAAAAACTGAGGCTTCAGAAGCTCCGCCCTGTCCTCGTCTGTCAACGCCCCGTCGATGATCAACTCACGTAGTGTTTGGTGGTGCCCATCGGTGACTCTCTTTATCGAGCCTTCTGGTTTATCAGCGGAAAACACGGGCACCGGACCTAAGGAAGGAAACCGAGGGGGCACCGTATGACCTGAACCTCCGGCTAGACCGATGGCCACGCCCTTCGGGAGGGCTTTGTCAGAAAAGGTCGCTACAAAACAAAGTCAAGAAAAATCAGGAGGCAGATACAGATCCGCCTATCGTGGAGCGAAATTCGCCCGACATAACGAGATCCGCCTGCATAGGCCGCATTTGCCTTTACCAGAGTAAAGTCGAACTCGCCTGTTAAGAGACGAATTCGCCTTCACCTGATGAAGACCAATTTCACCTGTAGAGGCAGAAATCGTCCCCTATGAGTAAATACAAAATCCGCCCGAAAAGGGGCCGACTTTGCCCTAGGTCGGGGAAGCTACCAAAGATGATCGAACCTAGGGGGATAAACGAGGCTCATCCGCCCAACCCGACACCTATAACCTACGCGAAGTCGTCAGATGAACCTCTTGACTTACCCAAGTGTGTCTCAGGTATGCGGACGGGTGCACCGGCAGTGAGGCGGTCGGAATAGCACCCGGGACCTCCTCCTTTCGCGATACACTTCTTGGATTTCGGCGCCATTGAGGGGATTAAGCGGACCTCCTCCTTTCGCGATACACTTCTTGGATTTCGGCGCCATTGAGGGGATTAAGCGGGAACTCTCTCTATTTAGAAAATTTTCAAGATTCTTGAGCACGGTAACTCTTAAAGAAAGGGAACAACCTATTTAATGGAGGAGTTGCCAACGTGGCCACGATCGCCCTCAAAAAGCAAAATACTGGCGGACGAGAGACGTGACCACAATCGAAATCAACGGGCCAAATTACCCCCGACATCTCGAAGTGCCACGTCGAGGCGGGAAACGGGTCGGTTGAAAACCCAGAACCCGAGCTGAAATCGACGGTTGTATCTAACGGTTGGGTTCGAAAACCACGGCCATGATTCGAATGAGGTGCTCAAAGCTTACGTCAGAATGCGACGTGACAGAACCAGCGGACGCGTGGCTCACCCACGCCGAACCGAGTTTCGCCCGAAAGGAAAGATCTCGCCTGCGAAAACTCGACCCAAATCCGGAAGTCGAACAGAGTTTCACCTCCAAAACCTAACTTCGCCAGAACGACTCGTTCGTCTTTAAAGGTAAAATTACAAACAAAGCCAATAGAATGATCTCGCGTGAACGGTTAAACCCACGCCTCGAACGGCTGAGGTTGAGAGTAGAAATCTTTGCATCAAGTCTAAGAGAAACTACTCGACAACTCATCATACTGAGGGGAATAGTATGGCTAGCCCGATTCAAATGGTAATCGGTAAAGGCATATCAAACCCGTTGATAGCCGAGGGTTTGCTAAAAATCCTAAAAGAAACCAAGTGCGCTTGCTTCGCCAAAAAAAAAAACTTCTTCATTCAAAGTATTCTAGACCACACACAAGCCGGTTTAGGTCTGAAAACTTTGAAGGGGGTCTTATAGATGGTAAAAAATACCTCTGTGAGCTTGCAAGAAATTCACCTGAATGATCAACTCGCCTGCACAAGCCAGAATCAACTAGGAATAGCGGAATTTCACCTTTTACACAACTCGCCTGCCCGAGTCCAAAGTCGAATCCGCCCGCAAACCTCAAGGCTGTCAGTACAGCTGGGTATTCGCTACCCCACGTGCTGGGGTAGGCTTTCCCATCCCTCTCGACTTGAGAGGGGAGAGAGCACAGTACTCCAGGCCCGTCGAGTAGCCGCTCACAGTACGAGTGATCAGACAGGTGCCAGATCCACCTGAACATTCATAAATGCGGTTCACTTCACCCATCCAGGTCGAGGACTGGATCCGCCAGCATTCGGCGAGCTGTCCAAACCCACTCGAGTGCCAGGAACCTGCTTTCCCGCCTCTCTCTACCTAAAGAGAGAAGACACGGTACTCTAGGCCTGCCGAATAGCCGCCCATGGTACAAGTGAGCAGACAGATGTCAAAGCAGCCTGCACCCTCATAAATGCGACTCACTTCAGTTGTCCAAGCGAAGGGTGAGAGCCGCCGGCGCTCGGTGGTTGGTCAGATCCATGCAAGTATCCGACAGCCGTTGTCACGCATACGAGGAGGGGCTTTCCTACTCCTACGTGACGTGATGCAGAGTACAGCTCTTCGAATGACCACTCGTGGTATGAATGAGCTGTAGGATATCTCCGAACAATGTATGGTCACATCCCATAATTCAAGGAGCAGTCAGGCTGTCTTTCTTCTATTTAAAAGCCTCTTCCAGCAAACTTTCAGGAGGTCGAAAAACTGGGAGAAAAGCAGTTGAGACCGAGCTCCTTGCATAATCCTTGCATCGCAGCACCATTTCCTAGTTCCGAGCCCCGATCGCCGACGAACTAGAAGATCCGAACTCTATCGACTCGAGCTTCTACTGCGTACTGAAGCTCCCCGGCAACCTTGATCGAACAGTCCAAGGGAAGCAGACTCGACACGAGCATCGAGCGAAGCATCCTGTAGCCACCAAAAGTCCCCACACTAAACAAAGAGGGCATTCCCTCTGCTTCTATTGTAAACATTTGATTATTAGTTTGTAATAAGCTTTCTTATCAATACAAACGAAACTCCCTGTTTTCGGGAAATCAAATTTACACCCTACAACGTGGGATAAACGGTTGTGAGGCCGTTCAGCTTATGTTTGAATAAGTCAAACACCTAAATTGGTGTTCTGGGCCTTAACTCTGCGCCTAGGACTTGAGACGCAGAGTTAACTCTTTGCTAGAGATTGGAATCGCACAGGCCACATGCATTCTGGAAATTAGAGACGCACAGGCCGCTTGTGTGCTGAACCTCAACTCTGCGTCTTGAGTTTGAGACGTAGGACTGAGTGTTTGCTGAAGAACGCACAGTCTGCGTGCGTTTTGAGTTTTAACTCTGCGTCGCAGAGTTGAATGTCCGCTGAAGAACGCACAGGCCATGTGCGTTTTGAGTTTGAAAAACGCAGAGGTGGACTCTGCGTTTGGGAGAGGTAGGGGTGAGCACGGTTCGGTTCGGGTCGGTTTTTATTAAAATTTGAACAACCGAACCGAACCACCTAACTGTTTTTAAGTGAAGTAACTTGTCCTTTTGGATTAAATACTAGACTCTGACGTTGTAATTTTTTAGTAACGGACTTGCTTTGTCTTTGTGTAGCAAGCTTTGACTTTGGTCTTTGTGGAGACAAAAAAAGGTGCCGACTCATTAGAACATTGGTTATGTATGAATCAATTCCCTGCAACTGCTATTCATGGTGATCGAACACATCAATAAACCCACAAATCAAAGGCACAAATATATTCGGTTGGTTCGGTTCGGGTCGGTTTGAAAAATTGTCAACCCGACCCGAACCGCCTTACTCATAAAACCGCCTTTTCCGGGTCGGTTCGGGTCGGTTCGGTCGGTTTTTTCGGTTTGAACCGAACCGTGCTCACCCCTAGGGAGAGGCAAAGGCTAATGCTCATTGATCTTTGCTTGTTATGGGGTGTGAAAGTCGTCAAATTGTAACTCTCACAGTTGGTTATGAAGGCTACTGAATAGAGTTTTCATCAGCTGTCGGAAGTGTTGTTGATTTGTAACTCTTCTCGATCTATGTGAAAAGTCCTCTATTTGTAGCTTTCGTTTGTTGATATGAAAGCCATCTGATTGTAACTTTCGTTGTTGAAGCTTGATGGGGATCAGCTATCTATTGTGATTTTTAGACAGCCTATAGAACCCCCTCCAAAGTTTTCGAAAGTTCACGGTTGACTGAGACAAATTTTCGGAATACTTTGGATCCCAAAATTTAGTGGATTGATTGTTCACTCCGTCTGATTTGAAGACGTATTTTCGGAATACTTTGGATCCCAAAATTTAGTGGATTGATTGTTCACTCCGTCTGATTTGAAGACGTCGCGAACCTGGTTGTTGTAATATTGAAATTATGTTACCCCAAACCAAACAACGTAACTTTTGAGTCTTGATGACAATGAACTTAGTCAAACCAACTAAATCCCAAGTCATCATCAGACTCATCGACAGGTTCGTCCTTCTTCTCTTCTTCCTTAGAGGCAGGAGCAGCAGCATTCTCAGTAGATAGAACAGAGATAACAACAACAGCAAACTTGCTCGGATCCTTTAGATACTCCTTCACCCTCTTAGCCTGTGGAAAGGTGTATTCAATGTCAACAGCAACAGCAATGACGTTCTTGTAGGCATTGACGAACATGTGAGGCATGACTACTGTAGGCGTCAAAAAATGCCAATAGATATCCGAACATAGAAAAAATTACTCAAAATGACAGATATGAACTATCTCGCCAGCGGGACAGTGTTTACTGTCTCGCCAGCGAGACAGAGTTTACTGTCTCACAGCGAGACAGTCTTTACTGTCTCGCAGCGAGACAGTGTTTGCTGTCTCGCGGCGAGACAGTGTTTGCTGTCTCGCCAGCGAGACAGTGTTTACTGTCTCGCCAGCGAGACAGTGTTGAAATGGTCAAAACTGCCTTTGTAACTGCCCTACACGTGTCCATTAACTGCCAAAGGATGTGGAAAACATCGTAGGCGAAAATCATGTGGATAACTACCAAAATAACGGAGTTTGAAACGTGGGAAGGCAGTTAAAATGAAAACTGCCTGACAGTTGCTTTTTCCGAGATAGCATTTACTGTCTCGCGGGCCGAGACAGCAAACACTGTCTCGGCAGCCGAGTCCTAGAGATCTAAGCTCAGACTTGATCTTTGGAAGAGTGAACATCTTACATCGATAAGATATTCGCTTCAAATTCTTACTTCGATAAACGAAGGAAGAATCATTAAACCCCTCACGATTCAATCAGAATCTGTGATTTGGTGGTCCACGAGTCAAAGCGCTCCCGGCACAGGCAAAGATCTCACGCAAGCAGCGATCCAAACAACGATCCTGCGTTTGTTTCTCAAGAGTTGTAATTTTTCCTTTTGTTGTGTAAAAGGAGTCTTATAAAAAGGCTATCTCTTTTTTTGAATTTATTGTAATCGACCGAAGATATAATAAATTCCATGACAAAGTCAACTTTTGACGCAAACAAGCTGGCGACCACAGTGGGAGCCAACGGTCTCGCTGCCGAGACCGTCATGTCGTAGCCGATCAAGATTCCAGTTGAATCCATGGTTGAATACGAATTCGACCAAACCAAGTTTGAGGAATATCTCTCATCATCCTCTTCAAGATCTTTATTGTCTCGCAAGTACAAGAGGATCTCACCATTGAAGAAGATTTATATGCCAAAGAAGGCACTCGCCTGATTGTTGCTGATGATTTTACTCGCAACACCTCTGCTCACAATGACTCTTATCTAGTTAAAGAGTCATCGAATCAAAGCCCACCGGCACTGACGAAAAGGGCTCATCAGAGACAACGTCAGCGCCGCGCTCGCCAAATGGCTAAGGCGTTGGAACAAACCGACTGGGTTCGTTATCACGTGGACCTAGAGTCGAGGAGACATCGAGTGGTTCAATTATCTCAACAACCAATCACTCATATCTCTGCTAAAATAACAACGGATGAATGGACTTTTGTCAAGAGGGCTCGCTCGACCCTCAAAGAACGTATACAAAAACGTCGTGCAAACGCTGCTCATGCCCGAGCTCTCCTACAACAAAGACGAGAAAGGAGGAAGGAAACGGTGACCAAAGAACAACCGAAACTCTGCCAAGTTTGGATTCCAAAGTCTGGACTTATACAAAATCAGCATTCGGAGCCCGTTAAGACTCCATACCCGCAAGGAGGTGGTTTTAAACATGCGACTCCCGACATAACCTTAGATCGCTCAAAGACAGAAATAAATTGTCTTGAGAATGCCAACAAGCTTTTACACCCCCAGAAGAAGACGCATTCACCAAATGATATCGTTATACCTGGGAGGTTATGCCAACAGACGATACGATTTTTTGGCAATCATACCGATGAATTATATTATCAAGTTGGGGTTGTGAATAATTTTCGAAAGAGAGTTATTCGAGAAATAAACTCTCATTGTTCCTGTGCGCGACTCGTTAAAGCAGCATTATCAGAATGTGACTGTTTCAAACGAGAAGCCATCCCACGATGAGTCTCTGTATTGTTGAAGCCTAAGCCGAGACCGAGACATTTCCGCAAAAGAAAATCAGCTGCCTAAGATGATGAATTCCCTGAAGTTACCATCAACGTGACTGATAAAAGAAAGTCTAAGCGGCATTCAAGTGACTCAAATCCCGACTTTTCCCCGAGAGGAAAAGTCAATCCAAGAATTGCTCAAAGGATGTCTCGACTCTAATTAGGAGCCATCAGATGCAGAGATTACAAAAGAATGCAAGAAAGAATGTCCTCGGAGGATGAATTCTCGGACACTTATTCTGCAATCGCTTCTGATGATACAATGTCTAGCATGGGACAAACCAGAGAAGTACTCATGATCACCTCTGATCAATTTGCTCAAATGCTTCAAGAAGCTCTAGCGAAGCAACGTGAAGAAATCAGAGCTGAGATGAAGACAGAGATGAAGTTAGCTATTCAACAAATGAGAGAGTTGCTAACTCAATAACCTCAACCTCCTGAGTCCAGTCAGCGAACTGAATCCAGCCGCCACACTCAGAATGTTGTAGATGACAGTGATCCAGAAGTGGATGAACTCATTATGACTGATACACCTCCCAATGATAATAACACTGGGGGTGGTTCAACAGATCCTCCCAATAACAACATTGGGGGTGGTTCAATTGCACCGCTTAGTAACACTGGGGGTGGCCCAACTATTTCTGCTCGACATCACTCAGAGAGAGATGAAGATACGGGAAAATGAAAGAGCTTGAAAATAAAATCAACGCTTTGATGACGGCTCAAGAAGTGAAGAGGACGGGTATTCCATGTCCCTATCCAAGAGAATGGAATTCAATACCGTACCCGGCAAAATTCAACATGATTAACTTCACACCGTTTGAGGGGAAGAGTTCACCGATTCAGCACTTGATTTATTTCAAGTCTCATTTGGGCATGATCTCTGGAGATGAGGCTTTAATGGTCCGGTCATTCGTTGGTACCCTTCGTGGGCCCGCCTTCGATTGGTACCGACGGCTCAAGCCAGGGAGCATCAATTGCTGGGATGACCTTCGATTGGTACCGACGGCTCAAGCCAGGGAGCATCAATTGCTGGGATGACATAAAAAGTTTGTTCCTCAGCAACTTCTTCGATGATGATACCGAAGTGTCAGTCGGAACCCTTTTAGATGAGAAGCAAAAAGACGGAGAGTCAGTCGACGATTTTGTCAAGCGCTTCCGTGGCAAAGCAATGAATTGCAGAGATCCTATTACAAAGGAGTTCATCCTGTAAACATGCCACAATAACATCTCCATCGATGTCCTGGAAGCTCTGGGGGTCGTACCATCCACCATTTGGAAAGAGTTAAAACTACGTGGTGAACAAGCTGAACACTTTCTTAAAAGAAAGAAAGTTGAGAGAGGTCAACCGACGACATCCACAATTCCTGTGAACGCAACTCTCGATCCGAGGTTCCAAAAGGAGTATTCTTTCCAAGATGATGAAGCTCCAGTCGTATTGGAATACCTCCTTGCCAATGACAAAATCGAGCTACCGCCTATTAAAGATCAGGAGGGTGCTAAGATGATTACAGATCCAAACTATTGTGCATACCACAGAAGGATTCTTCATCCCACCAATCTGCTCCTCGATACTCCAACAGGTATATGAGTCTAAACTATTTCCTTTCTTTTACGGGAAGTTCCTAGAGAATGCCATGCATGGTACTTTTAAGGATAACCCGATCATACAGCTAAACGTAATGATAAACCCAGCTTCGCAAGAAAAGCTGGGGGTGGATGGTTCATGTAACGGGAAGTTCTCGGAAGAATACTATATGTAATTTTCTTAGGGATAACCCGATCATTACAAACAAAGTGATGAACACTACATCCCCACGGTGATTTACGAATACTCTTTTGCTGAGATGAGATTCGATCACTTCGTTGGATCAATCTTCCCTCACAAAATTCTCTCATGGTCAAACCTTTAAACAGTTAGGACCAAAGCCAAAATCCCCTCTCGATTCCTTCCATGAACGAGAGGTCCACAAATCGAACGATCAGACCTTTAAACAGTTAGGATTGTTTCAAACCCCTATTTAGTTGAATAGTCAAACCTTATGACAGTTAGGATTATTCAAACCCGTCCAGATTCTTTAAGTAGGGGATCCCACTTTGAGTTTCCTTTGCACCTAGGAGATAGAATATAAAATTCTTCTTCTCCGATTTTGGGTTCATCTTTACCAACAAACAAGAGACCAGGAGATAGAATATAAAATTCTTCCTCTCCATCATCGGGTTCATCTCTACCAACAAAAAAGAGACCTGACTATCTCCCAACGGGTATATGAGGTTAAACTATTTCCCGAATACTCCAATGGGTACACGAGTCTAAACTGTATTCCTACCCTCAACAGGAAGTTTCTGGAGAATATTAATCTGAATATTCTTCAGGATAACCTGACGAACTTTCGAGAGACAAACGAGCATCAATCTGGAAATACCAACTTCAACTCAAGATTTTAACAACGGTCGAGCGATAAACGCAGTGCCGGAGAAGTATTAGCTATTCTACAAAGAACTGAATAGACTAATGGATGAAGAGATCAAGAGTCGAAGCCATTTTACAGATTCTTCTACATGATCTACTCAACCAAGCATTGAATGGATCGTAAGTAAAATCTATCTTATCCAAAGTATCTCATGCTCCTCTATAAAAGAATGAGTCTGGAATACTTTGGAGGGGGTATCTGTAGGCGTCAAAAAATGCCAATAGATATCCGAACATAGAAAAAATTACTCAAAATGACAGATATGAACTGTCTCGCCAGCGGGACAGTGTTTCGCCAGCGAGACAGTATTTGCTGTCTCGCAGTGAGACAGTGTTTGCTGTCTCGTAGCGAGACAGTGTTTGCTGTCTCGCAGCGAGACAGTGTTTGCTGTCTTGCCAGCGAGACAGTATTTACTGTCTCGCCAGCGAGACAGTGTTAAAATGGTCAAAACCGCCTTTGTAACTGCCCTACACGTGTCCATTAACTGCCAAAGGACGTGAAAAACATCGTGGGCGAAAATCACATGAATAACTGCCAAAATAACGGAGTTTGAAATATGAGAAGGCAGTTAAAATGAAAACTGCCTGACGGTTGCTGTTTCCGAGACAACGTTTACTGTCTCGCCCGTCGAGACAGCAAAAGCTGTCTCGCGAACCGCCGAGACAGCAAACACTGTCTCGGTAGCCGAGACAGCAAATGCTGTCTCGCGAGCTTGTTTTCCGCCAACTGTTCCTGGGGGCTATAAATACCCCCCCCGAAGGCCATTTTTGAGAGGGGCTGATCATTCTTGAGCACTTCAGAGTAGAGAGAGCAGAGTTCTTGAGCTTCTGGCAATTTCTTGAGATTCGAGCTTTGACTTGATCTTAAGAAGAACGACTATCTTACTTTGATAAGATATCGTTTCAAATTCTCACTTCGATAAACGAAGTCAGAATCAGTAAACCCCTCACGATTTAATCAGAATCTGTGATTTGGTGGTCCACGAGTCAAAGCGCTCCCGGCACAGGCAAAGATCCCACGCAAGCAGCGATCCAAACAACGATCCTGCGTTTGTTTCTCAAGAGTTGTAATTTTTCCTTTTGTTGTGTAAAAGGAGTCTTATAAAAAGGCTATCTCTTTTTTTGAATTTATTGTAATCGACCGAAGATATAATGAATTCCATGACAAAGTCAACTTTTGACGCAAACAACTACAAGAGTTGGGTAGGAGAGAGCGAAGGACAGCGAAGCAACCATAGAAACACCAGCTGCAAACTTGTCAACGAGGTCATCCTCCGTTAGGTTGAACACCTCTGGGCTTAAGACAGATCCATTATCATAGACAGAGAGAATCGCAAGCCTACATGAGAGGGGCTTTATCCTAAATTTAGTCAGGAGAGCAGCCTCAGAGGAATCCAATTTATCTCCTTTCTTGATCAGCTCAACTGGGGTGACGATTTTAGCAATATCATCATTACTCTTTGTTGGGTTTATCTCCTTTCTTGATCAGCTCAACTGGGGTGACGATTTTAGCAATATCATCATTACTCTTTGTTGGGATGTTAAGCCATTTAGAAGAATGAGTTGCTCTTTGTTGGGATGTTAAGCCATTTAGAAGAATGAGTTGCGCGTCAGATCGTGTCTTCATTTAATCTTCATTGGGATGTTAAGCCATTTAGAAGAATGAGTTATGTGCAGCTCCTGGCTTCATTACTCTTTGTGGGAATGTTAAGCCACTTAGGGGAATGAATTGCGCGTTGGATCGAGCCAGATGATTTTAACGTTGCTGATTGTAATCTGCCTGTACCCATCCAATAGACTCCCCAGTGGAGTCGTCTGTTTCTTCTCGGCTTTGGTCACCTTGCTAGCTAACATTAATCTTTCTCTATTTATTTGAAGCTATGTCTTGGCTTTAAGCGTCGAGAAATTCGTTTGGTTGCGTTAAAACGCACAGGTGGATTGCCAAAGAATTGAAACGCAGAGTTGAACTCTGCGTTCAGAAGCTCAACCAACACAGACGCACAGGCCCCATTTGGCAGGATTCTAGGCCTAGAATCTTGTCCCGATTCGATAGCTCATGTCTGTCTATAAACAGACCGCTGAGGTCAAATCAAAAGTCATTCGACTTTTCATCTGTTCTTTCTCAAAAGATTTTAACGAAGACTCTTCATTTTGAACTCCGGCGAACCCTGTTCATCCTCTTCGACCATCATCCTCTATGGGCCCGAGAAAGAAGACTGTCTCCCATCAAAGGTCGGCCGCTATTGCTGCTCCGAGTTCTCGGTCAACCTCGGCTGTCGGCGGTGATGAAACTCAGGCTGGTGCGTCGTTGACACATGCTTCTCTCATCGGTGGTAAGTATCGACCTTCATGGCCACAAAACTTGCTTCGACGAGTTCTCTGAAAACCCTAGATGGGTTCTTGTGAATGAGGAAGATGACTCGTTTTGATATTGTAACACAGAGTTGGGACTTTACGTTTTGAATTTGAAACGTTGGGATCCGACCTCTGCGTTAATAAGTTTTGACGCATGGTCTGGGCTGTGTGTTAAAAAGTTTAATGCAGAGTTCGACCTCTGCGTTGATAAACTTTAACGCCAGATCTGAGCTGTGCATTTAAAAACTTAACGCAGAGTTCGACCTCTGCGTTGATAACATTCAACGCCAGGTTTGAGCTGTGCGTTTGAAAACTTAATGCAGAGTTCGACCTCTGCGTTGATAACATTCAACGCCAGGTTTGAGCTGTGCGTTCGAAAGCTTAATGCAGAGTTCAACCTCTACGTTGATAAAATTCAACGCCAGGTTTGAACTGTGCATTCGAAAGCTCTCACTCCTCTAGGGATTTTGACTAAGGTTCCCTTTATTTTATTTCCTCGTTGACTAATTGAGTACTAATTGAGTACTTTTCTCTTTTGCAGTGCCTTACTCTCACGAACCTCTTACTCTTCGTCACCATTTCAGGCGCGAGGGTGGCGTGGATTTAAATATGCAATTCAATCTGCTTCAAGAACTCCCAATATTCCAAGATACCGACAATGATCGTGTCACTCTGATCTCGAATCCAAGCCCGGTTGTACTCAGGATTCTAGTTACAGACGCCAAGTTTGAAACTGAATCCCGCAAGAAGCTCACCAAACCAACTTTTCTATTTGGGGATCATGTCACTATCTCGAAAGAGACCATACATGGTGGCCATTACAAATGGCTAAGGCAAAACGGGGATCACCGCTTCTTCCTCCCTGATATGCACAGAATGTTTCCCATTTCTTACTATCAGTGTGCCTCTGTTCCCCGCCATATGGATTGGGACTTGGTTAGAGAGCAGGATGGGGTAGCTGTTGGGGTTTTGACTTACAAGGGCGTACACACCATTGGTTACAATCGACAGGTGTCAGCCTTGGAGCCCTGTTTATTCTCACGGGGATATCCTTTAGGAGAAACGGCTAGCACAGCCAATACTTTTATGCGGAGGTTTCTGGCTGTAAAAGGGGAGTTCTCCTCTTCAGTATTCAGAACTCCTGTATGGGTCCATTCTAGCAAAGCAGGATGGTGGGCCCGAATGACAGAATTTGTGCTGACAGAGCTAGAAGGGTCATTAGCTCGATCTGGGCTCAGTTGCCCTATAATGGCTACCAAATGTGGTATTGCCTACAACCACTATAATTTCTTTGCCGTTCTGGAGAGATATAATCCGGAGACTTGCACATTTTTTACACCGAAAGGAGAATTAGGGTTTGCCCTACATGAAATGTATGATGTTTCGGGCCTTCCTTTTGGAGATTTTCCCTATGAAGAATTCATCCCTGGGTCCAATGAGCTCAGAATTTTGAAGGAGATGAATCCTGAAGTCTATGACATCTTGTGGGAAGTAATGTGTCATTTTCAAATTTGCACCCAGCTAATGGGGACACGTGGGCGTGGTATAAAACAACTATCTTGGGCTGAATACCTTTTCCAGAATTTGTCTCATAAGACTACTGTCGTGTCTCGTCGAGATGTGAGCACCCCTAAGACTATCCAAGCTTTGATTAATGATGCCACTGTTCACTATGTCAGTGAAGGAGTAGAAGATGATTTCCTGGCGCAGACTAAATTTGAAAGCTTCCACCATCAGGCTGCCACGCCTATCTCTGACATGGCCTCATTGATAGGTTTTCTCATGCTGTGGTTAAAACGGTGTGTCGTCCCTACCAGGCCGATAGACGCCGTGGTATTAGAAGTAGTCTACCCGGCTGTCCTCTTAGCTCATGGGAGGCATGTAAACCTGCTTTCGGCTATGACATGCTGTTTGTAGCATGGTTTGAGGGAGTTGTGTCTCGAATTCATTCAGGTGAAGGAGACAGAATCTGAAGGAAAGAAGGGTTTGGTGACTCCAAATCCTCGAGTACCTTTACCGTATACTTACTTGATGGCTTGGTACGTATCCTATTGTCCTCATTTGATGAGCGCTCCATCTTCCTCAGATGAAGGCTTCATCCCCTTCGTGCAGAGACTAGAAGAGGCTACTTGGGAAGGCACCTACATGGTGAGGGTCCGTCAAATTCTGTCGAGAGACCTCAACTACCACATATTCCGCTGTTTCCCGGACTTCAATGGTGGTGGCTATGGGTAGGTACTCCAAGATACAGCTGGCCCCAATGGTTTTACTCATTTAGACGGGGGAGTTTTCCATTGCTTATTAAATATTAGACCTGGTTATCTCCTCCTCAGGCAAAATGACAAATGTATAATCGAGCCGTATCAGCTGTACCGATTTGCTCGCCAGTTTGGGTACGACCAATTATACGTTGGAAATCCGAAGGGCCAGCTTGCAATTGTGGGCAACATATATGAGGGAGCTCGGGCCTGGTATTACTCTACCGCAGGCTGCACTGGAGCTACCTTTAGATTACCTCACAAAGCGCCTAATTCTCTTCTCTCCATGGCTTTCTGCAACTGGTACCATACAGCTTCTAAGATACCCGATTATAAGCTAAACCTGTCAGGCCTTCGAGAGATCAGAAGGATGTATTCGTCCCAGAAAGGAGCTCGAGTATCTCGTCTGAAGGGGATCAACGAGTTTTTACATTGTGAGGATGAGGCTGAGGAAGGAGAAAGGGACCTGGGACTAGAGAACGCTCCAATAGTGAGCCCTAGGGCTACTGAAACTCCAAGAACAAAGACATCTGGAAAGAGGGCTCTGACCAAAGAAGAAGCACTTCAGTATGAGAAACGTACTCGCAGGAAATTGCTAGTAGACCCTCCTTCCCAGAAACTAATGGCAGATGCTTTTAAATCTGTCAGGGGAGGGGAAGAGCAAGAACCAGCTGCTGCAAATCATCCCGATCGCACAGGCCCTCCTTCTGGGGGTTCTGCATTTTCTGGAGAATTTTCCTCTTACTATCCTTTGGATCAGGAAGAGGGTGGAGATGAGTAATAGACCCTGATATTTCACTATTTCCAGATCAAATTCCAGGTGCTACCCCTTCGTCTGCAAGGACATTGCCTACAACGTCTCCCTCTGAAGAGATTAGATTGCCTACAGATGAACTGGTGACAGACGAACTTGCGAATTCTAACGAGAATCAGTCTCCTACTTCTTCCGTGTTATTGCCACATTCAGGGACCATTATTCCTAGTCCGACGACTGGTAGAATGACTAAAGTGGATACGACTACAAATTCTCCAAGACTTTCGGCTGCAGATGATGAAGAAGCGTTAGATTATGGGACTTCTTCGCGTAGTGTCGACGCTGATGAGGGGGAAAGTGATGGTGACGATAATTCGGTTGGCTGGGCCACGCCGCCACCACTTTCTTCTGATAAGGCATCCGCTTACGTTCCTTCTTCCCCCATTGGTAAAGATTATCCATTCTGATTTGTCTGGTGTTTCTTTCTTTTATACTAACTGCTCTTTTGTGTAGGTTCTCTGACTCACGAGGTTGTTGACACGACTTTGCTCCCAGGCCAACAAACGACAGTTACTTCTCCTTCTGAGCAAATACCAGCAACGTCGACTCCTTTGCAAGAAGAATCCCCTCCGTTAATGATTCCTCTCAAATCTGTGGGGATGGAGAATGTGCTAAGTTCAGCCTAGACAGGGGCACTCATGATTCTCCCTTCCAGTCCTTCACAATTGGACGTCATTATGGCTTCCCCGGCTTCTTCATGATCGTCACCCACCGTTCTTGCGTCAGGGTCTACAATTTTGGGCTCCCCGTCAACATCTCCTGTAAAATCTCTGAGTCCAGTGGTCATCCCCTCTATGCTTAGAATTCTTGTACGACCCCTGGAGGATATGATGAAGGTGGATATTAAGGAGGTTGGCGCCGGACGAGCTTCATTTGATTCTTTTAAACCAATACTCATGCATTCCTTGAGCGGCATTCGATATGTGGATAACGCTCGTTGGTTTCAGCACTACTCCGAGAACATCTATCTGTTGGAAAAAGATCTGAGGACTTTGGAAGAATTGCGTTGCGCCGATCTTGCTACCCAGACCACATTAGTTTTTGATGATCTTAAGGCTGAAGCAACCCGCCAATATAAAACTCTTCAAGAAAATATCACTGAAAGGGAGCTAGAGATTGCATCCTTACAGGGGCAATGCATTCAGAAGCAACACGCTGTGGATGCTTCTAATACTACCGTACAAACGTCCAGGGTAGCAATTGATCGACTAGAGGTGGAGTTGGCTCGACACAGGGCTGAGCTGGCGCGAGAAGAGGAGATTTTAAAGAGGCTCACATTAGAAAGCGTGAAGACCTACGCCACCTATCGTTCATCGGTCCAGGACCTTGAATTTATCCAAAAGGAAGCTATTGCGATCACGCCGGATGAGACCGCACTTAAGAAGAAAGTCGAGGTAATGGTGCAGGCCGCTCACGAAGAAAGACTATCTGCTATTAAGTCCCGCCTTTCGTCTTTCACTTTTACTGGTCCGGGGGCTTAATTATGTATTGTTTTTTTTAGTTTGATAAGAACAAGGTTCTTGTATCTCTTCTTAATATTTCTGAGTAAAATAAAAAGAGTGATTTTGGCTTTTCTCTATTTAT